TGGTTCGCATTCTTCGGAAGTTCCGCAGCACTCCATTTCGCAATTTCCGCAGCACGTTTACGCGACTTCCGCAGATGACCCGGCGGAACTTTCGCAAAATTCTGCGGAAGTTCCTGTTGATTGTCTGAGTAAGCGCGATCCACTGCTGATTTGATTCAAATTCATGCAGAGATGTGCTTATTATGGCAAAATTTAAAACCAATGATAAACTTTTTGGATCCGATTTCGCTGATTTCCTGCAACTCATTACAAAATTAGCATCACTTATCTTCAAAGCTTCCGGTCTCGCTAGCTGAATTCTACCCAAGTCTGATAAAATGCTTATGCTATTCTTTCAAAAATGGAAACGGTAATGAAAAAAGCCATGAGATTGAAACTGAGAGTGAAGGGATGACTAGATTAGGTAAAGCGATGAGAAATTGGGAATGGACACATTTTTCAGTAGATCATCAGTTAGTACAAGCTAAGGATACCCGAAACCCTAATCATTACCCTAGTCTTAGACGAATGAAAATGCGAAAAATGAATGAAACATTGCAAAAAAATGTCATGCATGACAAACTATGCTTGTCGCTTTTCTTCTGGTGTAATCATCCACGCCGATTGCAATGCATAACGAATTACAAACTTTTCGCAGAAAATTGATGAGAGATACCAGACAGGAATGTACTCGAATGTTATGAGACCCATGAAATGGTAGTGGAAGTAGCTGGAAAAAATGCTTGGACTCAAATGATATCTTCAGAATGCGGATATCTATCTTACCTCTCGTAATCCCAAGGGCATGCATCCCAACGTTTCAGGAAGAAACCAGAGCCAAACTCCCAACAGTAACAGACAAAGACATATAGAGCAGCACGTAACGGAAGTGGAATAGTATCCTATAGAAAATATCTTGAAAAATTTGGACAAAGAACGTCAAAAAAAAAACAAGAACGAAATCAACAAACCTTGAGATTCAGGTACAGTTTCTCCAGCACAAGAATTGACATTCCATATACAAAGAATATATACATTGACGTCACTCCGATTAACTTGCGATTGCCGTGTTCTACTGCTTCCCAAGTAGCCGTAAAGCACACCTGTAGTAAGACAATGTGTGAACCAAAGCTCAATGGAGGAAAGGGATTTGACAACGTAACCGTCTCCCTAAGTGAGTGCCAAAAATCAATTTTTGTGGCATTTAGCGCAAGAAATTCTCAGCAAAGCTACGACTAAATTTCTAAATCAAATGGCCACTAGTTAATTTGAAATCCAATATAGGGTATCCCAGAGCTTAAGAAAAACTAGGACAGATTCTCCCCGTGCTGTGATGTACAGGCTATTCGAAAAATTGTGACGATGCCGCGACCACAGGCGACACGCACGCACCTCCAGCAACCGCATTTTCACTCTTACTTGAATGGTTTATCCTTACGCGCTTACGTGTAAAATAGAATTGAACTTTGGAAGTGACTAAGCTTAGCGTTGAGATGACTCATTCTTGTACAAGTGTTTTGAGCTTCTATGGGGGCAAAGACCGCAGTCGAACACGTCGTCACGATTTTATGAATGACTGTACTCCTATACACCCACACCTCTTCGAAAACCAAAACTCAATTTCTCTTCCAGTTTAATTTCTCCTGGTATAGGAGAAATTTTTTTTCAAATTTCTCTTGGTATAGGAGAAATATCAACCCCATCTACACCCCTACACAACATTAAAATAAATGCGGCAAAATAAATAAATAAATAAACCCCAAAAATGAGTACTGTTCGACAGAGAAAAGCAAGCTCTACAAGAACGCACCCAATTATTTCCTT